GGAAACGATACAACCGATATTGGCTCACCTGGTCATGAACGCTCGTCCTCCTGATGAAGCAGAAACTTTCTTGCTCTCAGCCTGCTTTTGTGTCGCAAAAGGCAACCACCATCTCATCGTCGGGTCAGCCAGCCTCACGGGATATTTCCTATCGCAGGAAACCCCCCTCCATCTTTGATCCATGATGGGTTAGTGGGGAAAAGGTCACCGAGCCAGGTGAGCCGTGAGCCGGTCCAGCCCTGGCGAATAAGGAGGTAAGTCCCGGTCAGCAGTCCAATGAGAGGTGGTCATCTTCGTTCCTGAGAGTACCTCTCGCCGGCATTTCTTTTTGCTATTTCGTTTCCTGCCGAATCTGCCAGGGGCACTCCCCTCTGGCTGGGATCAAGGTCAAGGAGAATCGTTCCTTGCTAATGCAGTCCAATTCTCGCTCAAGAGCGGGCGCTGTCGAGCTATTGTTGGTTGGCTTACGGATCACCAACACTGCTTTTCATCATTTCATCTTGAGGCTCATTTCTAGGCTACTGGGGGGTAGGATCAGAGCCCTGGCAAGCTGACATCGAGCTTCCATTGGAGAATGGAGATTCCTCTGAAATTTGGGCCAGATTCCGTCGGCGACGGGCGCGCACGCACGCTCTCTCTCTTGCGGCCTGCCTTGCAAGGCCCCGGCCGGACCTAACGGCGAGAAACCACGGAGTTTTTCTTGGGGGAGGATCCAATCAATGGAAGCCGTCCATCTCCCGAGCCGCCGGGCCTAGACCGTCCGTTCATACTCTACTTCCCCTGTCATCTCACTGCCCCCCCTGTTCGAGGTGGACAGGAGTTCGGAGTTTGTTGATCAGTGAAGAAAAACCCACCCCTTGAGCTCTTGTTTCTAACGGACATTAACCGGCTATTCGATACAAATTGCTGATCTTGTCCAGATGGGTAGACACGGCTTTGAATGTTGTGAGAAGAAGAAGCCCAGAGTCAGGGGCGCACAGGGGTTGCGGCTGCGGGCAAGATACTGGTAGGTATGGCAGATGGGAGTTTGCAAAACAAGAGACCGGGGGCGTCTCGGAGGTGATACATCCTATGCCCCTTGGCAGGTTGGCACTTTTTTCATGGCGCTCAACTTTGATTCACAACGGCAGTTGGTTGGGGGGAAACAAGAATTGGGAATTGGAAAGGAAAAAGAAAGCACGAATTGTGACGGAAACAGCCGGTGAGCCGTCGCACAGACTGCCAATCTTCACCGATGAGGGTCCCCCGTCTCCGGACTTTCTTTTTCTTCCTCTCTCTCCACGCCATGCCATGCCATGCCCGCATGTCGCTGGCCGGCAAGGCGAACCTCCGGCGCGGGAGCTGGGCTCCACACCGGTGGGATGTGGAGCGATGGAAGGGGTAGCTTGTGCTTGGTGCTTGAGAGAGGGGAAGAAGCTAGGCTACGGCTACCTGGGACGTCAGGAAGCAAAAGACGGGAGGTCGCAACTTTCGAATCGGAGATGATAGCATGGCGGCGAGCTGTGGTGGCGGCGCTTCATCGTCTCCCTTGCTTTTCGGTCTGCTGAGGATGGGACGAGGATGCGGGTGCCCGCACATCAAACCAGCTCGGCTTGCCTAGCTCGGGGTCGCGCGAGGCCACCGAGGCGCCTTTCAGCTGTGCTGGCGATGAGGAGAGAAACGGGAGATCGCGTCGAGAATGCCAGCATCCGTAGACCGTGATGGTTTTGGCGTGATGGCTAAGTTGTCCGGTAAGCAAGGGTTGCTGCTGCTGTGCAGATGGGATTAGAGCAGCTGGATGTACGTCTCCTGGTGTGAACGCGCAAGAGCGGAGGGACCCGTACACACGTTATGCTCCACGAATCGACCGGATCGTTTTCTTCATGCAGGTCTCATCACGATGAAGGACGCGTATCTCGGTTAGAGACAGATCGGTCTAGCTGCCGAGTGCCATTTTAGGGAGGAGATCAGTCTCGGAGGAGGACTAAGGAGTGCAATTTTGGATTTTTGTTAGTGTATTCACACGTTGATGTTGGGGATGGGCGAAGCGATGGTCGGGCGATCTAGATGGCGCCAGGGGTTGAGATCGTACGGGTCATAGATTTCGGGGTTTTACTAGGATTATTTTGTTTGTTGGAAAGGCTTTTTTTTCCAGCTCTATCAAGCTTGTCCGTGTTGGTGAGTGCGAAGAATTCCTCCCCCATGTCTAGCTGCGGGGGCGATGCTCTTGGAAGCATCACGGTGACGAAACAGAAACAGTTCGACTACTGTGGTCTTCTTGGCCTCTAATCCACCAAGCGATATGAGCAACCATGCGTCTGAGAGGCTGCCTATCCTCCATTTCACACGAAGCTATATTGGCACACCCAGGTAATCTCGCAAAGGCTGATTGAGGGTTCTTTGCGAGTGAATGAATGGCCCCTGAACCCATGTTCACATGCTGGAATTCGGAATTCGGAATGAGTGTTCATGGATGGCGGGAAGACAAGTTGGCATGTCGCACAAAGCTGCACCGCGCCGAGAAGCACAAACATAAGGCATGAGGGCAGAGACCTACCCATGGCGTCTCGCTCTGCCTATCTGCCTGTACGGTTGCAGTTACCCGACAGATGATGCGCCACAATCATGCAATCCTCGACCGTCGGTGATTCCATCTCCATCATAGGTGCGACGTCCGTTCTCTGAAGCAAGGCCAGCCCCTCGTCACGTCTCTCCGCTGGACCAGCTCTGCACGATCGAGGGCCTAGATCGAGCCTTGCCTGGTGGTGACGCCCATTGGAGGGCGGGGTTTGCTCCGGGACTGTTGTGGAATCGAGAGAAGGACAGCCCGTCGATGACAAGGATGAAACTTCGTGGCCGAATGTCTCTTGGTGCGTGAATCTGGCTACAGGACGTGTCTTGTAAGCGATGGAGGGAGGGTCAACGTAGAAGCGGTTCGTCGAGATACAGACACGCTCTATGAGGGGTGCGAAGTGAACCATATATCGATCTTGAATAGCTTCGTCTGGCGTGGGGGTCGAGGGTTTGATGACTGCTGACAGCACCGAGTATGTCAAGGGAAGGTGATTTGCAACTGGCTATCTGGAGCTGTCTACTTTTCTTTTCCGTGGCAAAGATAACACTTTTTCGGCTTGGCTGTGCAGGTGCTCGATTGAAGTGTTTACGGTTATGATAACTTACCTTCGGTATTGGATGCCAGTGAGAGGCTCACAGCTAGCCTGAGTTGCTGTTTCACTTCAGCTACATACACATCGCTTCGTAGAGCGGCGAGAAGAGTCTCCCTGGTCGCTTCAGACCTCTGATGTCGTCGTCATGAATGAGGATCATAGTCTTGAGGCTGGACAAGGGAGGAGGCAAGAGTTTGGGAAAGGCCTGATTTGATGAGAAGAAAAGCAAGTTCCGGTAGACATTCTCGAACGCGACAGATAATGCACTGTTCAACTAGTACCACTGAGAGATATTCGCATTTTCTGATCACACAGCACGCCATTGTAGAAGTAATGCGGAGGTAATCGCAACCTTTGGATTGACTTGCGGTAATTTCCTTACCTCCAATGCTGCAGGTGATCTTCTCCTTTATCGATCTAGAAGCTGTTCCGTCCTTTTTTTTTTTTTTGGAAGTAGGCATTATCATGTCAATACTCTCTCTCTACGGCTGTGATATTTGGTCGGGTATATCTGATTATCAAGATATCATAGAAAGAGCAAATTAACGAGAAGGAACTATTCCTCAGGTATTGGCGAGCAACAAGCTGTGTATGACTAGCCCATCGCACAGAATTGAATGTAGAGAAGCATTCGCATATTGCAGAAATCGTAAGTGAATCGAGGGAGAAATGGATTCAAGTCCAGGTTCGCAATCCTACGATAGAAAATCCATTATGTTCCATGGCGACAGCTCTCCACAACATTCATTAGACTTTATATGCCTCACGCGTACTCTTAAGAGTTCTCTTTGAAGTAGATCATGTGTCGTTGGGTGGCTCAGATCTGCCAGTCACTATCACTTCTTAAGCTCTGTATGAGCCAACTGTAAGTGAAGGTTTACAAGTAGGTTGGACATGATAGCAGGCACGGCCTTAGCAAGGATTTGGAATAAAACTTTATTGCTTCCTCACTTTTGTCACATATGACGGTTTTCCTCTGAATTTGTTGTCAATTTTCAAGTTTTTTTTTTTCCTTTGGGAGGGGGGGATGTTCTCTATGGTCTGGGTATAAGTGATTCTTGTATGCCGATATGTCATGCCAATGGCAACAACCGAATTCAGACCCGGAACAGCCTGGCATGAGCCAAGGATGAACGTATTAGGGGATGTTGACTGGCGCAATTATACTATGGTTCTCAAAGCCTCGACTGAGCGGCCGTACTGTGGAAGTAAAAGCTCGATCAGCGCCATCAATTCGTATTCAACTACTGCCGAGTACGTGCTCAAGACTATTCGACGATCTGACGCAGACGTACTACTTGAAGACCTAGATGTAAATAGTCTCCTGGGATTTCACGAAAGAGCTCTTAGTCTCCAGACATCAGAACCGATCTCTCGTAGGACCGATTAGATGCTTTTGAGACTGGCAACCCGTCTCGATCCTAGTGAACAAATATAATGTGACGGAATGAAATGAGGTCAAGTAGCTCGGTACAGGAATAGGCAAGAGTAACCATTTTGGGAAGAAGCTGTATGGTGATCATCTGGAGAGCTGAAGAGTGAGAACTCCATGCTTTGTGTCGAATGTTCCACCCTCGCGGTCACGTCTCTGAGTGCTCACTTGAGCGATGTCCAGAAGCCGACTGGTCTCTGATGTTTCCTCAATTATAACTGAGAACAAGATCTTCGATGCGGACATACTGGAGGCAAGAACGTGGACTTGAGAAGCTCAACCCGTGTAAAGCCGTTGGTCGTGGACGTCCGTCCAAGCCACAGCTTACGCCACAACCACCGATCCGGACAGCTCGCGCCGGCCGGCCCCACACCCCGCGGACCCCACCATCAAAAAACCCCTGCTTCCTTTGACTTTGCTTCGGAGAAGGCCCAAAGCCTACCAACTTTTTGCGATCGCATCCCGCCCGAAAATTCGAGCTTGGCCCCGAAACCACGACCAATTGACGAGAGATTGAGCTGTTGCAAGTTCGACCACGAACTACACGAAACCTCGCGAGTACTATACCCCAGTCTGCGAACAGAATAAAAAAAGAACAAACCCACACAGAGAGGAAGAATGGCGTCTGCACAGCAGGTTCTGCTCTCACCGGCAGAGCTCGCCTACCTCCACTCGACCCTCTCCCTCACGCCGCCCATCCGCCCAGACGGCCGCAAGGCAAACCAGTTCCGCCCCCTGACCGCAGAGACGGGCATACTTCCCGGCACCAACGGCAGCGCGCGCATCTGCTTCTCCGACGGCACGGAGGCCATCGTGGGCGTCAAGGCAGAGATCGAGAAGACGGCCAGTCCGTTAGGCGCAGACGTGGACGGCGAGGAGACCCCAGAGACGAGGAAAGACGCGGGCAAGAAGGAGGAGGTCAAGGGCAACAATGACTGGCTCGAAATAACGGTCGAGATCCCGGCCTCCAGGGAGGACGACGCCGCGACCGTGTTCCTTGCCAACATGCTCAGCGAAGCGCTGCTCGCCGACGGGGAGTTTACCAAGAAGCTGCGGATTAACAATCGGTTCCACTGGAAGCTCTACCTAGACGTTTGTCTCTCCTCCCACTCTTACACATACCGTGCCTTTGAAAGACTGAAGCTGATACAACTCTCCCCACCAGATCCTCCTCATCTCCCCGCCTCTATCCTACCCGCTCCCCCTCCTCTCACTCACAACCCACCTGGCGCTCCTCGCAACGCGCCTACCGCGCCTTAAGTCAGAGGGCGACGAAGACCCCATGTTCGACGACGACTGGCAGGCCTCGACATTCCTGTACCCTCGCGACGGCAGCGCGCCCGTCGACGGCGGCTCGCGGCCACCCATAACACTGCTCGTCATCGCCGTCGGCGGCAACGTCATCTTCGACCCCGCGCGCGAAGAGCTCGCCGTCGCAGAGTCGGCGCTGGCGGTGTCGGTCGCCGAGGGGAAGACAGCCGCCTCGACTGGTGGAATGGACATGGACGGTCGCCAGCTGAAGCTGCTCTCCGTACGGACGGTTGACCCGCCTTCGCGGTTGACGGCACCTGGCGTGCCCAACTCGGTCAACCCGGCTACCGGTCTTGCGGGTACGCCGTCAAAGGCACCGACGGCCCCGGCGGCTGCGCAGGGACAGGCCGCGGAGGGTGTTTGGAGGCCACCTATAGGAGGTACCAAGGTACATGTGATTGAGGGGATGATCTCCAAGGTCCTGGAGAAGGGGGGTGTTGCGGACGAGGTGCTGGAGGCGATTGCTGCGGTGGAGTTGGCCTAAGACTTGATTCCTGGGGCTTGAGTTTCAGGGTTTTTAATGTTTGCGACTTGTCAGGATGGGCAATGGAAAGACAAAAGTCATGATACCAATTGGTGATTCTGGTTTGAAACGTCATGTTGTACATCGTCCGGTAGAGGGTATATTACAAAAATAGCGTGCTCATCCCCCGGTACATCTTACACATGGATGGGTCCTCTTCTCCTACTTTAATCAGAAGATGCCAAGCCACTTCTTCTTCTGCTCGTTCTCTGCGGGTGCCGTCGCCTCGACGTTTCCAGCCACGGGCGAAGCTTCCATCGCCGCAGCAGCCGCAGCCTTGTCCTCCTCCGACTCCTCCTTCATGCCCAAAAAGTTGGCAATGGGGTTCTCCTTGTCCAGTCCGTGGACCTTGCGGTAGTACTGGCGCTTCGCGACGTCGTCGGTATGGCGCGAGTGTGCGGCGATTGCCTTTTCGTTACGGTCGCGCTCGTGGAGCTGCATCACATGTACCCATGTGCGGATGAACTGGATGGGGCTGCTCCAGAACTCGGAGGCGGGGGGCAGGAGGTGCTTGAACGGAGATGTCTGGGAAAAGTTGAGGACCAACGTCGAGATGGCCAGCGTCGTGAGTGTTCCCTAGGAGTTCCAGTGTTAGTTAAAACCATTGGTTCAAACAAGCTACGGCCGGCATGTGTGTGTGTTCCTGCCAATGGAGGATCATCGAAAGCTACTAACCAGGGAGATGAAGAGGTGAACTTTGCGGCTGTTGAAGAACCAATGCGCCCACGTCCCTTCGGGAGCCATCATGCCGGGATACTCGCGCGTGCGCTGGGCGCGAACTTCCTGGCCGCTGAGCGGACCGCCATAGTGCTTCGGGCCGTTGTTCTTAGGCAATCGGGCGCCATGGGAGGGCGGGTTGAACTTGGCCGGCTTCTCGAGAATGAGGGGTCCCTTCTGGCCCGCCTTTGTCGGCTTGGACGAGGCGTACCGAATCGTCCACACCGCGTTCCGGCGGAGCGCCGCCGAAGCCGCCGTTGCGGCCGGCCGGCCGGTCGAGGTCGCTGCTACGCGCCACATGGGGCTCAAGGCCGGGAGGAGGAACCTGGGGAGAAGGGTCGTGGCCGAGGTCGTCATTGATGTCGTTGGTTTGCCACTATAAAACCGGCGGCGGCGGCAAAAAAAAGGTGCTGGACCCTAATAAAGCTGCCTTGCCCGATGTTTGCCGACGTTGCAAGACTCGGCGGTCAAGGAACAAAGTAAGTCACCTGGACGGCGATGGTTTAGACTTTCGGGGGTCAGGCGTCTGTTTCACAGCGTCATTGAGGCTCTGGTATGGATCAACGGGATCATCAGGTGCGCGCCGGCAGGATCGGTCGGGGCTGGAAAAATCGAAGCTCCAGAAGAATTTCTCTGCTCAAAGAAGTTACAGTGGAGCTCAGGTAAGGTATGATGAGAGGTTGGAAGCTAAAGGGTCGCCGAACTACCCCCGTCGCGCATCTGGGCGCATGTACGGGTACGTACCTGACCCATAGGAAAAACCACCCTTGCTCACTTCAAGTTCAATTGACGATCGCGATGACCATACGGCTACTCTGTCTCGTGTGTAGCAGCATCAGCATTAACACTACAGCTGTTATTGGCTGCAAGATTGACAGTTCGGGATCTGGAACAAACAGACGCCGAGGTGAAAGAGGCCAGAAAGCACGGAGATGGGCAGATTTGGGAATCCTAGTCGAAGTTCGGCAAACGGGAAGTTGGTGACAAGAGGACCAAGTGAGAGATAAAAGACCAAGAAAAATGCTAGTGGCAGGGACACTGACAAAGGTCCCCGCTGGCCCGCCGCGCCGCCCCGTTGGTTGAGTCGTTGACCTGGCACTTCTGCCAAAAAGCGAGCTGGTCCCGTCACCAAAACACCGAGGCGCAGCGGAGAAAGCGTTCTTCCGGGAGCAGTATCCGGTTTTGCCCGGGTAGCGACCCCCGGACGCATCACCTTCTGACCAATGTTGCACATCTGATTGGCGGTCGCGTCGCCACACCGTGTGGCTTGTGCACCGCGGTACCCAGGTTCAGTGAGCTCATTCCAGGCTTTTTCTCTCGTTGCGGCGTGTGCTGGGTACGTCGCCAGGTGCCTTTCCGCCGGGTTGTTGTCATAATTAAAATCGGATAGCCTTTTTTTGCCGTACTGTCGTCTCGTCTTTTTTTACTTGGCCCGATCCGATTCTAAAAGTTTTTCTCTCCCCCTTCTTCCCCCATTCCTCACTCTCAACCATCTACAACCCAAACGACCTACTTGACGACCTGCAAAAGACATTCTTCTTTTGCACCTTCTACCTGATACCCCTTTTCAAATCCTTTTAATTATCCTATAATCCGTCAAAATGGCTGGTGGTAAGTCTCTCTCTCACCTCACGCGCGCGCGCCGTCCTCTCCGTCCGTTTTCGCTTTGCTTTGCGGATCCCCGATGATGATTGCCCAACCCTCCGAGCGCCTCAATCCGCCACGAGCCATTGAGCAGCGAAATCACCCTCGCTGAGTCTGGAACGGTTCGGAACTGCTTCGCGGGCCAATTTGGGTTCGATATCACCTCGTGCGACACCTTCGTCCTCTGCGATTCGTTTCTCCTAGCACCTCCGACATCCTGCGCCAATTTCCTGGCATCTCGCTTGATGGGGCAAAAAAACAGGGGCCCGATGAGCGAGAGACAAGGAGGCGTCGGCAGGGGGACAGCGAAGCAGTGAACACGCTCACGACGATGAGCGGTCGGGCTTTCATCGGGATTCTCAATCCAAAGCGAACAACGAAATCGTCGCGGGATACACATCAACTACCAAAATCAGTAGACTGACCTTGAGGAATTCAGGTGACGCTAAGAAGGGTGCCAACCTCTTCAAGACCCGTTGCGCTCAGTGCCACACCGTCGAGGCCGACGGCGGCAACAAGATCGGCCCTGCCCTTCACGGCCTTTGGGGCCGCAAGACCGGTTCCGTCGAGGGCTACTCCTACACCGACGCCAACAAGAAGAAGGGCATCGAGTGGAACGATCAGACTCTCGTAAGCTCTCCTGACGAGGTTCAGCCTCATTGCTTTGCTAACCATGATCCTTCTATAGTTCGAGTACCTCGAGAACCCCAAGAAGTACATTCCCGGCACCAAGATGGCGTTCGGTGGTCTCAAGAAGGAGAAGGACCGTAACGACCTCATTGCGTACGTTTTCACTGCCACTCTACATCTCACTCAAGGTTTGCTCACTAACCATGACAACAGCTACCTCAAGGATGTCACCAAATAGACGGATTGATGTGTAACGATAGGATTGCATTAGACGAACTGGCGATTTGCGTTTTGTACCAATAGACCACTCTAGAACAGTGCGTTTTGGGGGCTTACTGAACAAGCCCATTTTCTCTCGAAAATTCTCCCCTTTCAAAGACGGTTGTAATACAACAAATTTCATTTTGCGAAACAAACACCAAAGAGACATTCGCGTGCCATTCTTGATTGTTCCTGTAGCATCCGTACCTGCAAATCATTACCGTGTCCATGATGTCAGATCTGGCGCGCCTTGTGACCCGGAGCTGACTGGGCAAGAAAAAAGAAAAAAGAAAAACCTGCTTACTCAGGTAATGCAGTAGTGCGGCCACTATGTCCCTTTCAGCCAGTAAGATGACTCGCTCTGCGTTGTCATCCTGGCACCTCGTCATAGGTCCCGTCCCGTGAGTCTGTGACCGAATCAAGAATGTCAGGAACGTGTTACGGAATGCAACGGGAAAAGGTCGGCCAAATGTTCCAAAATAGCGGCTTCTGAAGGTCCCGTCCTTGATGTTGCGGCTCAAGCAGTCGTTCTGCAAGCATCAGGAAAAGTATAATCTTCTGCATGCCCCGACCCGTGTGGACGACTGTCACTTCTCCACTCTCAGTGGTCAGTGTGTCTTGACCCAATCACACGATCGTCGTCGTCCGTAGGAGGACTTTCCCGGACTCTTGAGTTGAACTGCCATCTTGTTGTTCAGTTGAATCTTCAAATATGGTGGTCTGAGATGAGGTGGACGGTTCACGGATAGAGGTGTAAAGTACGGTGACAGTAAACGTGCGCTCAGCACCTGATTTTGCTACCACTTTTCTATACTTTGGTTTTGGTACCAGAGATGGTAAGGTTCCGAGAAGATGTGGTGTAAACACAACGAGAACAGGCCAGAAGATGATGAGAATCATGTTCTTCGTACTTTGAAATCTTCAATTTTTTGATCGAGTATTTTCCAGAGGGCCTTTATGACTGGCTGTGGTGAATATGCCTGGTCAGCCCTGGGATCCCTAGTACGTCCGTCTGCCTCATATAGACCAACGTTGACGACCTAGAGCCAGGAGGAAAAAGAGAGTCAATGCAGTTTTCACATGCTCTGAAGAGTCCATAGCACACTTGGCCGATGGATGCCCATGCAACGACTTGCAATTGAAGCTATCATCAACATCGCCTTGTTTATATGCACCTCTTAAGTGCTGAAGACGTTTCTCATCTCAGCTCTCCAATACTCCAGATCACTAGGCCAAGATCTCCTGGGATTCTATACACCGAAGTCTGCAGCCCGTCTTGCATCCTGCCTGGCGTCGAGGCAGAAACCTGTGCCTGAGGCTTTCCCCATCGGCCGCTCCTGCCCGTTATGAGAAAGGAATCATCCTAGATATCACCAACAAGCAATGGGCCGCATGGTCGAGGGGTTCTGAGCTGTAAAGGCCCCGGTTGAACCGTGAAGATTCCGGTTTATTTCGGGGCCCATGTTCGATCCTTCGATCGGTCTATTGTTTGTTGACCTTTTTTCCTTTTTCCTTTTTTTTCCCCCTTTTTTGACCCCTTTCTATCTTAGTATTGTTCACGATGACCACTTCTGCTGGCTATCCCAATCGAGCGAACCCCAACCATAAAACCTTGACTACTACTTCTAGGATTTTACGACGTATATCTTGATTAGTGAGCATGACCATGCCCCCGAGGTTCATCCTCTGCCTCAAGGGTATAAAAATTCATCGACCGAGCCCAGAACCAGTCGATTAAGAACTCACTCACTTTATGTATGTATAAATTTCGAGGCATTGCATAGCTACTAGATACGGTATCCCGGATCACTCTCAGTCCCGCAATGTTTGATCGTATTCAGAGGGCAAGTGCCGACCAGTAGCCCTCCCAGACAGAATAAGCAGGCACACCTACCATCACACCTTCCCCGCTAGCCCCAAGGCCCATAGGCGAGAAAATTTCGAGAAAAGGCATGAGCAGCGTCTGATGTGTCCATGACCTAGTGATGGAATATCCAAAAGCGCAATGGGTCCCGCAAGGGTTGCAAGTTCGAGTACTTTTGTGCTCACAAAAATTGGTGGTCCTACGTGATGCCACAGACAGCTCATTGTTGTTAGCACTCTCTTTCTCTTTTTCGTTTTCCATAGAACCCGACCGGGTCATTGATGATATATAAATCTTCTGGTATAACTTTTGCTGTCATATTTGCTTTCATCGGATAGGAGGAGAAGCGAGGGTGAGTAGGGTGCTGGGTCCGGCCCCTTTGTTTTAAACGCCTCTGGTGATGGTGCTGGCTTCTTCTCCGACTCTAGCCATGTTCAATGGCTGCTTTTCTCGTTGCTCCCATGCCACGAGATTCAAGATGGCGGCGTGGAGGTAATCCGAAGTTCTTGTTTACAACAGTTGTGATGAGGTGATTGAGCAACAGCTATGAGACGAAGACAAGCCAAGTAGAGAGAGGTTCGGCAGTTCGCTCGTTCACTTCGTGTACGTAGCTTGGCCAAGTTCTTGGGATAGATGCTCAACGATACAGTCGTTACTTTTACTCGGCTTCCTTCAGTACCTAAGGTACCTGCCAATGGGGATGTAAATCCATGATATGAGCCCAATTGCTCTCTAAGAAACACTGGACCCTCCCAAAAACAAATGCAGCAACGAAAAGACAAACTCAACTTTTCTCTATCAGTCAACTTTTTCTTCTCCCCCAAGTCCACATCGAAACCCATCCTTCCCCCTCCTTACGTCTGATGATGCAACTTGTTCGCCAACCTCCTATACGTCTCCGGGTTCGGCACACTCGGCTTCGTCTTGCTCAGCGCAGCCTCCCAATCACTCTTGATCAACGCGGGCTCGCCGCCCTCGTACCGCAAAACACACTCGTCCAGCGCATTCTTATACAAGCCGTACAGATCCGCACCACTGAACCCGGCACACCGCTTATCCCGCGCAATCGCCTCAACGTCCACAACGCCGTCGTCACCGTCACCCTGGCCCTGGCCTTCCGGCTGAACGCCCCCACCGATGCCGTTGCGCACAATCGTCCTCAAGATATCGACGCGCTCGTCCTCGGTAGGCAAATCCACAAACAGCAGCTTGTCAAGACGTCCGGGGCGCAGGATGGCCGGGTCAATCATGTCGGGCCGGTTACTCGTGCCGATAACATAGACCTCACCCCTATCCCCGGCGCCGTCGAGCTCCGCGAGCAGCGCGTTGACGACGCGGGCGCCCGCCTCGGTGGTGGTGTTCTCCCGCTTGGGCACGAGCGAGTCCATCTCGTCAAAGAAGAGGATGCACGGCGCGCAGGATTTCGCCCTCGTAAACAGCTCGCGGATCGCGCGCTCCGACTCACCCACGTATTTGTTGAGCAGCTCGGGGCCCTTGATGAGGATGAAGCTCGCCTGCGCGTCGTTGGCGACGGCCTTTGCGACGAGCGTCTTGCCGCAGCCGGGAGGGCCGAAGAGGAGCACGCCCGCGGGGCGCTGCTTGCCGAATTTCTGGAAGAGTAGGGGTTCCTTGATGCGGCGGACGATGGAGACCTGGAAGGCGGCGCGGACGGAGTGCAGGGCGCCGACTTCGGACCAGGAGGTGCTGGGGATGGAGCTGAAGCCTTCGCGGCGCATGTAGGGGGTGTGCTCGGCGATGGCGTCGACAAAGTCCTGCTGGCTTACGTGGACGCGTGTCGGGGTTGTGTAGGATGGGTGCTCGATGTAGTCGTACCACAGGCAGGCGTCGTCGAGGTCGCGGGCGGCGTTGTCCGCGTCTGAGAAGGAGGTCTCCGTATCCATTCTCTCGGCCTGGATGGTGATCCTGGCGCGCGCCTCTTCCACGTCCATGAAGCGGTCGCTGGCCTTGCGGTTGGCGACCTGGATCACGGCGCGGATGTCGTCGCCGACGAAGCCGTGCGTGCGAACCGCGAGGGCCTGGAAGTCGACTTCGGAGGGTATGTCGAGCTCTCTCGTCAGGGCCTTGAAGATCTCCTCTCGGGCGTCCGTGTTGGGCACCTTGACTGTGATGGTCTGCGCAAAGTAGTCTGGTCTCCGCAGCGTCGGGTCAACGAGCTCAAGCTTGCTCGTCGTGCCCACGATTACCACTCGTTGCCCCTCGCGCTCCCAGTCCCGCAAGCGCCGGAGACCGAGCTTGAGCTGTGAAATAACCTCGTGGTCGAACTCGCTGTGACTGTTGCCCGACTTGACCATGTACTCGTCCAGGTGGTCAAACAGGACGACGCACGGCGCAATCTTCTTCGCCTCGTCCAACACGTCGGTGAAGATCTTGCTCACTTTCTCGGGCGACCGCGTCTCGCTCAGGTACCGTCCGATAGAAATAACAGGCGTCCTTGTCCTCCACGAAAGCGATCGCACGAGGGACTGCTTGCCCGTACCCGGGGGCCCCGAGATGAGGATTCCCATCGGCTGCTCTCCAAAGCATGCGAAATCCCCCGGCTTCCGCGCGCGCGCAAAGACGTACCGCTGCAGCTCCTCGATGATGCCACGCACGCCGCCGAGAACGACCGAGCCAGGAGGGATCTGCTCAGGGCCGTACTTGGCCGCCTTGAGCGCCTTCTTCGTGACGGCCGCCTGAGCGGTCTCTGACGCGTCGCCCGTCTTGGACTTTGACGACTTGGAGACGATGGCGGAGGCGTCACTGACATTACCGGCGCCGGTGCCGTTGCCGTTGGCGGCCTCGGGCTCAGGTGAGATGCGGCGTTTCTTGGTGCTCTTGCCGTCTGACCCCTGGGCAGTGGGCACCGCCGGAGCGACGTTCCAGTGCTTCGTCATTTGTCTGTTGAGAAGAAATCGATCTTCCGGCTGTGAAAAAGGAGGTGTTAAAAAAAAAAAAAAAGGAAAAAGGAAAAAAGGGAAAAGCCCATGCGAAGGAGACGGATGGTAAAACTTACTTTGTATTCTTCAGCCTGCTCCAACAGATCGTCACTGTCCTCAGATTCGGCCTCTTCTTCCTTGCGGAAATCCAGCACCCTCTCAATCGCATCCTCCAGCGGTTTCCTCTTCTGCCTGCTCAAACTCGAATTCGACTTTTTGATCGATTCGTAAATCGCCGTCACTGTCAACCTTGGCGGTCTCTTCCTCTTGGCGCCGCCGTCCCTGTCCTTGCTCTTCTTCGCCTGCCACTCTCCTTCCCTCTCGTCCTCCAGCTTTTTCACAATCTGGTACACGTCACGGTCGAGGCCGGACCGGAGGCTTATACGGGCCATGTTGGATTGTGAAAAGCCGACGAGACTCACTGGAAGAAGGGTGAGTGAGATGAGTCTCTCACTCTGGCTGCACAGCGTTGAAGGCGACAGGCAAGAAAAAAAAAGATGGACGTAGGTGGGATGTGCGAATGGAGCGCTGTGGTTGGCTGTTGTGGTGTGTTGACCCACAAAATAATTGCCGTTCTGCGGACTCAGCCAAGGCTTTCCTGTATATCTTCCTCGTTATAATAGCCACCACCTTTATTATCATCTCATGACTTCGTCTCTCAAAAAATAATTCTTGAAGACTCTAATATGGAAAGAGCAATTCAACTTGTGTAGAAAGAAGGTGATAATGACGACAGTACCTAGAAATAGCAAGAATAGAGGCAAGGAAGGTAGTGAGAGGTGAATTATCCTGTCAACCACCTGCCTTTATATCACTATCAGATTCGACCAGCTGTTATATCTTCAATTACCTTGTTATCGAAGAGATTATACACCACACTTAAGGAGCCACAAGTGCGAGAACATATTTTTATTGAACAGCATGTGCCCACCCAGCACTGAATCTAGATGCGCCTGTTTGAGCGTGACGGAGGAGTATCTGTACTAATGACTGCTTCCCATCAAGACGAAGGCGAGTCACAACCAAGCTTTTCAGCCACGGTGGAAGCCATCAACGCCAGTCGTCCCGAGGGGCTATGAATGCTTGCCAGAAATACACCATCACCTATGCTCTCAGATATCTCTTTGCTAAAATCATAAATGACTTGGGTTGCGCAGCTCAAGATTTTGGGTGGAATAGTGACAGTCGAAAACCACAGCATAGGTCTTCTAATAACTTAAAATCGTGACTCACTGTATTGCCTGTGCTGCTGAGATTTCATCACCGTATTTTTGCGAGCTTATATTTTTGCTGAGCGCCATCAAAACTCGGTGACTCAGGAGCGCATCACGAAGCAAAGTAAGGCCCGCATTGCACGAAAGGCGTGTTATCTATCTGTTGATTTGCCTACATAATAAGCTTTATACCACTAAGATGGGTCTTTCGCCTTGGCTGCATGTATAGCTTTTGTTTTGATTTACCCCTTCTCCATCCGTCATTTCCTCCACTCGCCTCACGGTGGGCTTCAAGGTACAGTCCTCTCCGAGAGGGAAAAGAACTGGGCACCAAGTCGCCCTCCTCACCATTTTCCGTTGCCAGATGAGTGAAATGAAATAAAACGGCCCCGTCTGTGTCAACGCCAGGGGGCCTTAAAGCGGCGAAAGGTTATCCTGCAATCGTCATGTCATCTATCCATGGTATCACTACAGAATGAGCGGGCGGTTATGGGCCGCAGAGCCAGGTATTGGCGAGTCGTGCTCTAGTCCTTGACGCATGGCTTCTGGTCAGAGCCCGTAGAGCTCCCACTCATCGAAAATGTCCTGTCCCTTGGAAACTCTCGTCGCATTGTCTGCGCTCTCGAGGTTCCTTTTCGGGGCATACTCGGTTCGTAACTCTTGAGCAAGTCACAACTCGTCATCCTCCAGCTCAGAGGGCTTCAGCAGACCGCCGACCTTGCCACGGCGCTCGAGGTCCGCCGCCTTGGCGTCCCGCTCCTGCTGCTCCTTCTCAACCTGGAACAGTTCCGCATTGTCGCCAGCGAACTCCTTTAGGGAGATGAGGAAGTCACGCAGGTTGAGACGGAACTTGTCGTACTGAGTGTTCAATGAGAACAGGCCCTCAACAAAGGTCTGGATTTGAGCGCTGCATATTATGTTAGCATTCGCCATGCGCCACTTTCATGGTGTTACTCACGGTTGCAGATTGGGGAAGGCACCACGAAGCAGGTTAGCCACGAAGTTAGCGAGGAACTCCTTGTTGGAGGTGCCAGCCGCCGCCTGGTCGGGGCTGTAAATCGGACCCTGGATCTTCGCCGCGCTTCCGTCGGCAGGTTCCACGAAGTAGAACATCCTCATCAAAACCATAGACTGAGTCTTGAAACCCGCCTTGTGGTCATTATCAGTGAGAACGAAGAAGACGTCCTGCAGGATGGTGATGAAGAACTGCTGGAAGAAGGCGTTGGCCGTCTGCACATCAGTCTTCTCCGCAATGTTGTTGATGAGCTCCAAGCACATGTTAAGTCCGGCGGCCTCCACATCGCGGTTGTCATGCTTGAATGCCCATGAGCACGAGTCGATGACGAACTTGAACTGGCGGTTATCCAGCTTCAACAGCGCCGGGAAGCAGTGGAGGTTGATCGCGCGAAGAAGGTTGAAGAACTCGACACGGTGCTCAGGGAATTCAGAGAAGTCCTTGTTGATCATGTCAAGAGTGCACTCGAAGACGTTCTCCATGATGTTCGGGACCTGGTCCTCCATCAAAGTGGACAGCTTGGTGATAATCGCGGACATAGCCTTGAGGACTTCGGCGTCACGAGCTCCTGGCACGTTGCGGTTGTAGTCGATCAGGATGGACTCAAGCAGGGGCGGTACCATCTGTTGGCGCACAGATTGCAGATCCTCGGCCTTCTCAACGTACGTCTCAACGAGCTTGAGAATCTCCTTCTTGATGGTACGCAGTCCACGGACGTGCGGCATCTTGGTAGCGATCTCGCCTGTGAATTGTCAGACATGATATTCTTTGCATGCTTGCATGTGCAGACTCACCCTGCTTTTGGACAGCCTCGGAAATCAGTTCACTGGTAGCACGGTACATCTGGAGCATATCGAGGAAGATACGACCAATCTGGGGGTAAAAGTACGGGCCGATGGATGTGCAAGCGGAGACGTTCGTCTTCATGATGTTGCCAATGACCTTGATCGTCTCGGCATCTTGAAGAATGACGGGGTTGACCCGGGCCTGCTTGATAATCTCATCCCACGCCGCGTTCGGAATGGCCATCAGATCGCTGAGCAGACGCTCCTGCTGGTGCTTGTTGCCCTGGGCAGCCACCATGTAACCGCAGGCCTCGTAGAAAGTGTGCACTTGCTGAGGCGAGAGATCGCAGGTGATCTTGTGCATGTTGCGAACTATCTCCTCAATGAAGGGTTCCTGCTCGCTGGGCTGCAGAGCAACGAAGTGACGACGGCACTGTCTCGCGATCTTGATGAAGGTATCGCAAGCCATGTCCTGGACACCTGCGAGGGGTTAGCATTGAATTCATAGACAGCGTCAAGGGAGACGTACCCTCGTGCGACTCGTGCATGAACTCGAAGAGCTTGTTGACGACAGTCTTGAGGAACTTCCAGTGTGCCTTCAAAAACCGGGGGTATTGTCCAACAATATACATGATGTTGGAGGCGACGACGGCCTTGTTGTCCTTGCCACGCTTCATCTCGGTGAGGCCCAAAAGATCCTTAATGACAGTGACCAGGAATCTCTTCTCAGTCTCCTCGTTCATGGCCAGGGAAATCGAACCAATGGCCCAGCAAAGAACGTTGCAGTTGTGCCATGACCACTCGCTGCCATCGACCTGCCGGGCGAGCTTCTCCGTCATGATGTTCTCGGTGTCCACAACGTCTAAGTGCGTCAGGTACACCAAGCACTCTCTGATGGTCTTGTAAAGCTGGACTGTGTCGCTCTCCTTGACGAACTCGCGGACGATTTCTCCCTCATCGTTCTCGACAATAAGGACCTCCTCAGGACGGACCATCTTCTCAATCATGACGGTGCGGAGATTGGACAGGACCTCGTTGTACTTGTGCTTACGAAGCGGGTAGTTGTTGAGCAGCGACGGGTTCGGCGCGCCGCCTCCGGACATGCCACCGGCCATGCCCATCAGGGGATTGAGCTCGGTCATAGGGAGTTGCTGCATCTCATCGTAGAGCTCGTTGACGAGCTTCAGCCAGTAGTCGAGACAGATCTTGAAGATCTCGCGGTCGTTGATCTGAGATACA